CCAGTGTTCACATAGGTTATACTGGATACTCATGTTGAATCTCGTGTTCCGTTGATATGTGTGAGGAGGCGTGAGATACCATACTTAGACAAGGTTCTCTTGACACTGCCTTTGCCTTGCACCCTTTGTGCAGAGACGAGGTGTTATAATAGAGGATTCCCGACTCTGTTTGTAACTAGAAACCCTGTTTTGATTAGAATTTACCCGTGAGGTGGGGTGTGAACTATTCTTACATGTACAAATGCTGATCTCTGATACTTGGTTCTCTGGTATACTGAAATGTTTCGGGCCTTTGATCCTGTTACATGTGGTCGTGACTCTATTATCTGCACAACAGTGGTTCAATTTATGGAAGCCATGATCTCACTGTATTCATGAAATATTTTATTAACTGCATTTTGACATACATGTTTTCTTATTTCTAGGATCTCTAGTCTTTGAGTCTTGTTGGTTAGGCCACCTTTGAAGATGGATTATGAGAAGAGAGACAACCATAAATATCATATTGTTTACAAGTTCCCCATGCCAGTTCTTGATAATCGTCTCCTCCTAGATAAAAGGTCTCCTCCCGAGAATATTGATACCTTTACGAAAGATTATGGAAAAATCCTGATGTATCTAAAGTCGCCTCTCAGTAAGTACCAGAAGGATTCCCTCCAAGATTTGTTTCAGTTTTATGATCCCGCACTAAGATGCTTCATGTTCCTTGACTATCTGTTAGCACCAACTTTGGAAGAGTATTCCACCATCTTGGATATTCTTATTTTGCATTAATTACCTTTTCATACTGTTATGAAGAAACCTGATGATCCCCAGATGGCTACCTCCCTTTATTTGGGAGAATCTGTTATAAAGGCCAACTTCACAAAAAAGGATTTGTGCATGGTTTTCATTTGAATTTTATGTTGAAGGAAGCTAATGCCAAGGCTGATAAGAAAGACTGAAAGGGTTTCAATGTTATCTTAGCTTGTTGTATTTACGGAATAGTTATGTTTCCCAATGAGGTCAAGTTTGTTAATGAGAATATTGTTTTCATTTTCATGCAAAAGAATCTTGTGCCAACTCTCCTAGGAGATGTTTATCATTCCATACACTCCAGAAGCTACAATGGGAAAGGTGGAATTTTTCATTATTGTGCTCCATTGTTGTATCATTGGTTTAGAGGTTATCTTCCTCATCGCGGAGCTTTCATTAATACCCAGCGTACGATGAAGTGGGCTCCAAGGATGATAGGGCTCACATCCAAGGATATTGACTGGTATAAACACGATTTCTCTAGGACCAAGAGTAAAGAAGTGATCTTCCATCGCAAAGAATTCTTTAATGTAACTCTCATGGGTATAAGAGGTGGAATTAACTATAATCCAACTCTTTATTGGGACAATTAGGATATGCTCTGAGAGGATCACCTGAAAAGGAGTATGTGCGGGAATCCTTGTTCTATGATGTGCCTGACAGTACATGATGAATGGATAGAGCTATCAAAGCTTGGAAAAGCATTCACTTTGAAGGAGGACAATATTTTGGTAAAAAAAGATCCCACAACTTATACGTCTTACATTCAGTGGATTAAAGAAAGAAACAAAGATCGTCGTTGGCCTTTTGCCATAGAAAATCCTTTGTACCCTCAAGAGCCTGATCAACCTGATGTCATACCAAAGATAGACTATGAGCTAGTGCAAGCCCAAAATCGATGATTGCTTGAGGAACGTGAGACTATGGAGGTAAAGTGTCTTGTGTCCACACAAGAGAAGACTCAACTAGCCCACCAACTCAAAAGGTTTAGGGGAGAAATGCCAAGTGTTGCAAAAAAGAGATCAAGGTTTGAACACAATTCTGTTTCTGTTGAAGATCACCAGAAAATTATTGCTAAGATCGAAAAGAAATACAAACAGAAGTGTCGAGATTGCGAGATTCTTAAAGCATCCAAAGTTGATCTGAAGAAGAGGTACAAGACAAAGATTGAAAGTCCAGAGAAGCAAATTCTAGACAAAGGCGCCCAATTTGAAGAAGAGAGTACCCAGAGGCTTGTAGTAAAGACTCAGCTCAAAGGGAGGAATATTCAACTAGCACATGCCATAGAAGAAATTGTGAAGCTCAAAATTTAAATAGATGGACAAGGATCCACAAGCTATCTGTTGTCGGATGTTTAGATTTTGTATTTTTCTATTTTCAAAAGGTCATCATCAGGCTTGTTGATGATATCTCTCATTTTCTATTGTAATACTTTTGGTACTGATCTTTGAACTATTTGTATTCCTTCTTGTTCTGGTTTAATGAGAATCTGGATTATTGGTGTTCACTATCTTATCTCTCGCTTTCACTTAAGAACTTGAATCAAAGCTCTAGGATTCCAGAAGTATTTAAACATGTCATTGCATGCATTACATGCACTCATACATTCATAACATATAATGCATAACAAGTTACTCCAGCATGTCTTCTTACTTCTGATCTGGTTTTTTCCCAGAGATTGCTACTTTTAACTCTCACCGGTATAACACCATAAATAATTCAAAGAGACATATAAAACAAATATAGGTTGACGTAGCTGCTATGGGTGTCAAGATGGACACTCGTGTTGAACAACTAATGGAGATCATCCAAGTTATGGCTCTAAAATAAGAAGAGCTAAGGGCTCTGGTTGTGAGACTTGCTGCAACTACAGATAATGGGAATGAAACTCTGAATCCTCCTCTAGGAGATGCTGAATATCTTGTGGGAGTTACTGTTAAAAATCTTGCTGGTAATATGGGCAGTCAGAATTTGAATGGTAATGTTGTTGTTAACCCTGGTAATCCTGCTGGTAATAATCAAGGTATTCATGTGATTCAAGTTGTGGGAAATGTTCCTCCACTCACTTATCCTCGTCAAAATAATGAGCAACCTTTTGTTCAGCCATAAATTGGAAGTTTTTCTGATACCTGATCGAAAAGATAACAAGTGTATTATTTTTTCCAATATAGTAATAGTAGGGAATTTCCCAAGTATCGATCTCGAAGACTGCGATGAAATATTGAGTTTGTTTGTCAAGTCAATTAAACAAAAACTATGGTTTTAGGATTTTTGATACGTATGAAATAAATTGCGAACAAAAATTACTAAAGTGTACCGATGGATAAGACATATATGAGTAGTATGCTAGGGACAATGAATGATTCATTCATGCAATAGATCTGATCATACCTTGCAACAACTGGTTTAAAATATTGATTATCAGTTCTTAAGAGTTATTATTCCTAAGTCCTCAAGTAATAATTCTTTAACCCTTCAACCTAATTACTATGTCCATAGAAAATTACGGTTGACATTAAGCTTTCCAATATCAAGAATATTCCGATTATCGAAGGATATCCCTAGTCCTAGGTAATATCTACTTGAGTATGCTCTCAAACAAATCATGAACATAGCTTGTCCGGCTTAATTGTGTCACACAAAATCAATTTCTATTTGTCCGATAGAAAAAGCAATCAAACAGTAAGAGAACAAATCATGAAGTAAACCAAATTGTCATTGCAAAAGTATAATCTCATTCATTACAGATCAAAATCAGGGTCACCCCTAGCATTAGGGGGTTTATCTACTCATAAAATTTACAGAAAACATAGTGTTGATTATAGACATTACAAATTAATGATGGAGATCAGGTCTTTAACTGCAAGAGCTCATGAAAATCTTCAATCCCAGCATAAAATTTGAGTTTTCCAGCTTCTACAGTGTTCTTTGCCGTCCAAAACTCTCCGACCCTTCTCCAGACGCATTTTCCTCCTTTTATTTCTGTCTTTCCAGGCCTTTCAAACAAGCAAGCCCAAAACATCACGTGCACACGCGTCCGGGGACACGTCCTAGAGTGTGAAACGCGTCTGGGGATACGTCCTGGCAGAGACATGACTTTCCTGTGTAATTCCCCCTTTTGACACGCGTGTGAGGACGTATCTTGTGGAGTGAAACGCGTCTGGGGATGAGTCCTGGCAGAGAGGCATGTCCTGACAGGCGTCTGAGGACTGGAACGCGTCTGGAGACGCGTTTGGGCAGAGATGTGCATTTTTGATGATTCACACGCGTCTTGGCACGCATTTGGACAAATATGTGTTCCTTTTCCAATCTACACACATTTGGGCATGCACATGACCAGTGCTCCACGACTCTTGTTCTATTCTCTCTATTTTTGTCTTGCAAAACACACAATATCTTTTCAAAAAGATCAAAAAGCATTTGAACCTGAAAACACTAAAGAGACACAACCAAAGTATAAAATGTGGAAAGAAAGGGAAATAAAGTACTTGCAACCAACGAGAAGATTAACTAAAATTATCGATAAATAAAGATGCAAAAACTACTGATCAAACTCGTCCAAACTTAAACCGTTGTTTGACCTCAAGCGACAATTACAAGGACTCGTGAAATTTGTAGCATATCAGCACTCATACATGAGACTTCTATTCACATTGTTCAAGAAATAGTCCGTTCGATATTAACATGACGCGAAGAATTTGTATAAAAACCTTTTAATCTTTAACTTCCTATTCAAATACCTCTCTAACTAAAATGATAAATTTTGATTAGTTATATAAATTAATTTACTCAAACACTATCTTTAAATTCTATTAATAAAAACAATTTAAAAATATATTTGTTCAATATTTAATATTAAAAAAATATAAAAAAAACTTAGATGATGTGCACGTGTTATGTATGGAATGGAAGACCCAGTAATATATTTGTTCTGGATTGCGAAGTGACTCATGGATACGTGGATCACATCTAGATTTTCCCCGAAATCCAACACCTATCATATTCAATTTCAGATTGATACGAAACTATCACCCCGATACAACACATCGCCACGTTTCTGATTTAGTTTTGCAAAATCCTTTGATTGGACGAATAAATAGGCACTAATTGGATCACTTCTATTTTTAGTTTTCTACTCTCACTCACCTTATAATCATAATTCAGTGTGGTAAGGGTTTTTTTACAAACACTTCGGCTGCAACAACATGATGAACCTTTTTCTTACCAGAGCCGCTAGGGTTTCTTCTCTTACCAAACACAATGCTGTTGCCGCTTTCAATTCCTCACGGTATTTTATTTTACTCTTTTTTTTCTCTTTTTTCTTTCTAGTATTTTAATAATCTTCGTTTGACAGAGATCTGAACTTGTTCGATTTTTGCTGAATATTTTATAATACTGCAATCTGAATTTGCATGCAATATTCACCGGTTTTATCAGTTAAGAAACAATTGAATTTTGATTCGTTGAAATTATCCACTTGGTTTGATGGTATATAATGCATCTTTGGAATCGTAGTTAGTTTGATGAATCGTGGTGGCTGTGATTTTGTTGAAGCTAAAAAAAAAAATCACTCGGATACTTTGGCCTCACAATGGATGGTTGGGTTTTGCATGTCTCTTAAACAAGTCTTAATGTGGTTTTTGACTGCTAAGTGCTTTATTTTTATTTTTATAATAACTTGCAGGTGTGTCCATTCGTTACCACTTGCTGCCACAGTAGAAGCAGAAGAGATATCTGGTGCAAAGCCTGCTGAAGTTTTGAACTTGGGTAGGCACCGTAACTCTTGTTGTGTTTGTTCGTTACAAGTTTTCTTGAGAGTTTCATAATACGTTTGAATAATTTTGATGAATAAAGATTGAGAAGGGTGAACATCAATAAATTTACTCAATCCATATTTTCATTTATGTTTTTCTGTGATTCTGTCTTGAAGGTGTCAAACCAGTAGTTTGCTAAATTTTAAGTTTATAAAAAGACAATGTTATGTTATATAATGGATCAGGAAAAATTCTTTCCATTATATTATTGATTCTTTTATTCTTTAAAATTTGGATGGTACCAAGTGTTATTGTAAATTTCTGTACGATTTAGTTTTTTTTTTTAATTTTAAATTAGCTTCAATCAAACTTGACCGTGACTCTGAATGTATTTGTTGTCTTCACTCTCAGTGCAGGGCAAATGGATTGGATCATCAAACTGGAATACAATTCTGGATCCTTTAAATGGAGAGCCATTTATTAAAGTTGCTGAAGTTGAGGAATCAGACATTCAGGTCCATTTCCTTGAACTAGTTCTTTTGTTGTGCCTAGAAAAAAATGCTGTTCAGTGAAAACTTAACATGATATATTCAAGGAATTATCCTTTTATTACTTCATTACTCTTCAAACTATGATATACTCACTACTTGAGGCGTTGCCTTATCAGTCACCACTCAACACCTATTGCTTAAGAGGTTCAAGTTTAGAGCTTAAACCTCTGTGTGTGAGACAGGTTTCTCAATATTTTATGAAAAAATAAAGAGAACAAACACAAATTTCAATTTGAAGGCAATAGATAAGTTTGTTGGAACTCATTAGTTGATTTACGATAGAGGTGTTGACTAAAATTTTCCATTTGTTTGACTTATCAGCCCTTTGTAGAAAGCTTGTCCAGCTGTCCCAAACATGGTTTGCACAATCCCTTCAAGGCACCAGAGAGGTATGTGCAAATTATCCTTCTATGCCTTATGTTGTCTATTATATAAGACTGTTGTCCAAACATGTTCTTTTTCTGAGCATTCATGGGTGGATATAGACTATCCCCAAAGTTTTTTTTTTGTTTGTATTTTTTGGATAGAGAACAATACAACATTTATTTTTAGACTATTTTGAAACGGAAATGTGAGTTGATCTTCGGATGGTTGGTTTGCAAAGTGTCATTGGAATGCTAATCCTTTTCAGATGTTTTTCCATATTTCCAGACTAAACAAGTGAGATTACAGGATGAACTTCTAGACCTAGTTAGTTTTAGACTTCTGCTAAGACAAGTAACTAAAACACCCGGGCCCACGTATTATTAAGCTTCCTAAGATAAAAATAAGAATAAATAAACTTTAAACTGTCACAAGTCATTTTCACTTAAAGAATGCAACTGATTCAGGCATTTATTGTAACATGTATTATATTATTTAGAGTATAATATAAAATGAATTCTCACATTCTTATTTTGCCCATCTTTTGAAGTTTAAGTTCTTTTTAAAACAAATGCTGTGCAGATATCTTATGTATGGAGACATAACTACTAAGGCAGCTCACATGCTATCACTTCCTAAGGTATTTCTAACCAAATATATACTCCCTCCGTCTCATGATAAGTGTCTCATTTGAGCTCTGCGCGGTTCTTAAGAAAATGATTAGATGTGTTGATTTTAATGATAAAATTAATATCATTTACTAAAACGCTCTTATTTATTATAGTTAGTAGAGTAGTTGAAAAGTGTGAAAGCTAATAAATAGGGGTATAGTAGTGGAAAAAATAATAAATGTTGTGTTGGTATTCTAAAGAGACATTTATTTTGAGACATAGAAAAAATGCAAATGAAACACTTATTATGAGACGGAGGGAGTATTGTTTGCATGTTAGTTTATTGAGTTTTATCAGATATCATGAAGTCTGTTTACTACAGGACAGTAGGAGCTATTTATTATCCGTATTTTTCTCTTATTTAACTGGAACTGTTCATAATTTATTCTGCATGACCCTCAGGTTACAGATTTCTTTGCGAAGCTAATACAGAGAGTTTCTCCAAAGAGTTATCAGCAGGCTTTTTCTGAAGTTTATGTGACAATAAAGTTTCTAGAGAATTTCTGTGGGGATCAGGTACATCAAAACTATACATGTCATTGTTAAATGAGTAAAATCTCAATTACAAATATATCATTCTCTGATACAGAATGATTGAAGAACCTAAATTGGTAGTATTTATTTAATTGATAGTTGCCTCTCCTGTAGATATTGATAAATTTCCTTCCAAGTTCTTTCATTGAAGCCTGAATTCTTCTGCAGTGGAAGAATTTAGCCCTATCAGACACACACACACACCCACAATAGGGATGAGGAGATAAAAAGAGATAAAATTATCTCACAATTGTTTCCCCTTGAAGTTATAAAGTTCATATCATTCTTTTGTTGATTTCTCCTTTGTCATTTATTCATTTCAACAAATCTTTTGCAGGTTCGCTTCCTGGCTAGGTCTTTTTCAGTACCTGGAAATCATCTTGGACAGCAAAGTCATGGCTTTCGTTGGCCATATGGTCCGGTAAGGATTGTGTTGTACTTTATTTTAAATTGCTATAACCTGTTCTGAAGGGTGAAGTAGTGGTCTCTGTTATTCTTTCGCCACTGATACCCTTGCTCCAAAATTATCTACTATCTTGAGGTTATTTTGTAGAAGTAATTGATTTGAGCTCGCTTTCTTTTTTTTATATATAATTTGAGCTCACGGTAAGAGATGGAAAAATTGAAAATTAAATTTAAGAGCAAGATTTTCAAAATAAAACCTTGTAACATATGATAACTCTGTAGCTCTGATTCAGTGTTAAGGTGCACATTATACAACTGATGTGGTTTAGATTAGTGGCGCTATATGGATTTTTCATGTAGTTATTCAATGAATGTCTCTGTGTCTGGTTTATGAAGTGCATCTTTAGATGTTTTCACACGCTATTACCGTTGACCTTTCCATCCTTGTGTATTGTAATCTCATAGTTGAAAGTTTGTTATGCAGGTGGCAATTATCACTCCTTTTAATTTTCCCCTAGAGATTCCAGTCCTACAATTAATGGGTGCACTTTATATGGGCAACAAGCCAGTCCTTAAAGTTGATAGCAAGGTAACTTTTGGCTCTGATTTGAGGACTTTTATGACATTGTAATACAAAATTGATACAATAGGGTTGATTACCTTCTAGACTAGACTACATGATATGTTGATTGTTAATACTGTGGTGAAAATAATTTTGATGCAATGGTCTGTCTTCTTCTTTGGGATGTGGGAGATTTTGCATTTTTCCCGCCATGCAAGAATACCTGATTTAGTAAATTTTTTATTCGCTTTTAAAATCCACTGTGTCTATTGCTATTAGACATTCTTATGTTGCTTTGGTTCTGTTGAGTTTTGAAAACAATAATATCTATAACCTGCCTTTAAAAAATTTAAATCTTTCTGCAGTATATAGTTTTGAACCATGGACTCAAATTGTTGTAGGTGAGCATTGTTATGGAGCAAATGCTGCGCCTTCTTCATTCCTGTGGCTTACCCGTAGAAGATGTAGATTTCATAAATTGTGATGGCAAGACAATGAACAAGCTGCTGCTAGAGGTTGGCTGTTTGATACTTTTTTTCTCATTCAAACGTTGATTCTGAGAAGCTGATATTATTGCTGAAAGATTACCAATCCACTTTATGATTTTATTTCATAATAATCTCAATTTTCAACTCATACTGTAATTTTATTGGGTCTTGTTGACTTTTGAGTTCCTTTATTTTGTGAACATATATCTACATGTTCCTTTTATAATGTCGTTATATTATATTTACAGGGAAATCCAAGAATGACCCTTTTCACCGGTAGTTCAAGAGTGGCAGAGAAGCTGGCTGTTGACTTGAAGGGCCGTGTTAAATTAGAAGATGCTGGGTTTGACTGGAAAATATTGGGCCCCGATGTTCATCAGGTTTCTTACAATATTTTGTGGATTCCAGAATTACACGGACTTGGTTTTCAGTTGTATAATATTTTCTCTATTGTTTCTTAATTGCAGGAAGATTACATTGCATGGGTATGTGACCAGGATGCATATGCATGCAGCGGTCAAAAGTGCTCAGCACAATCGTTGTTAATTATGCACGAGGTTAGTCACCTTGATTACTTTTTGTTCTTTATTCATGGTTGAATGTTCTCATGAGAACTAGAGTAAAGTTGTAATGTTGATATGCCCTATGTACTGTGTCTATACTAACTCTAGGATCTCAATTTCCCTTGTTCAGAACTGGTCTAAGACTTCCTTGGTATCTAAGTTGAAAGAACTTGCTGAGAGAAGAAAGCTATCGGACTTGACAATTGGCCCAGTCCTTACTGTAAGTATTAATGTAGGATTTTAGTATATTACATTTAAATTAAGTTTATGTAATTCTTCTCTTTAAAGCACTGAAGCCAAAACAACGAACGAATTCTAGTGTAATTGTGATAAGTTAGATAAATTAATTTACGTGATATATCTTTTTATATTATTTGATTTGGTGAAGAGTCAAATTCAAATTTTGTCTTAGCTGATATAGATTTGTGCATTATGTTTTTGACATTCTCATTGATGAGAGCCCTTGACATCCAAAACCGGAGTAATTTTTTTTATAAACCATTTATTCCACTTTTGAATTTGGCAGAATATTTATCTGCTCTATTTTATGCAACTATACTTCATTTAAAACTCGTTTGTATGTTTTCTCAATTGTTGCAGTTTACAACTGATGCGTTGCTAGAGCATACAAAAAATTTACTTGCGATACCAGGATCAAAGCTGCTCTTTGGTGGTCAGCCTTTGGAGGACCATACAATTCCACAAATTTATGGTGCTATTAAACCAACTGCAGTTTATGTTCCTCTTGAGGAAATTGTGAAGGATAAGAATTATGAGCTTGTGACAAAAGAAATATTTGGACCTTTTCAGGTGTGGAAAGGGAGATTTAGAACATGAAAAAATAAAGCTGTTCTGAGGCCTTTATTATCAAAATACAATGTTAGTGTTTCTTCACAAGATAAATCTTTGTTTTTTATTTCCAGGTTGTTACCGACTACAAAAACCATCAACTACCAATTGTGTTGGAGGCTTTGGAAAAAATGCATGCACACTTAACTGCCGCCGTAGTTTCAAACGATCCTTTATTTTTACAAGTAAGATCTTTATTACACAAATTTACTTTGGTATGTGAAATGTCTCGGATGTTAGTAGGACTCCTGTCATATCTGACATGATTATTTATGGGTAAATTTTATCTTGCAGGAAGTGATTGGGAAAACAGTAAATGGCACTACTTATGCAGGTCTAAGAGCAAGAACAACTGGAGCTCCACAAAACCACTGGTAAGTGGAAGATATCTTTCAAGTGATTTATGTCTTGTTTGGAACCAAAAACATGTCCTGATGTGTCAATTTATGGAAAACAACAAATGTATTTATGCAGGTTTGGACCTGCTGGTGACCCTAGAGGTGCAGGAATTGGAACACCTGGGGCTATAAAACTTGTATGGTCTTGCCATAGAGAAGTAATTTATGATTATGGACCAGTATCAAAGGATTGGGAAATTCCTTCTTCAACATGAGAAGTTCTATGTAAGAGACTATGAAGTTAGATGGTGAGATTAGTATCTAGAATAAATTTTAGGGAATCCGGCTTTGTTTAGTAGTAGAGAATGAGGAAATATCTCCCATCACAGTTTTTTTATATTTATGTATTTTAGAATAAACTTAAGTAGATTGAATGTTTATTTAACTCTAATTAATATTATTCTGCCTATCATGATAAAAGTAAGAAAATTATATTGATATTAGGCTATTCTTAGGTACCCGGGAGCTGAGTTTTAGTTTGAGTATATGGATCTAAAAATTTTATTTATTTCAAATTTTTATTTATTTAAAGTATTTATTAAAAAATGATATGGCATTTCATGGATTTTTGTTTGAATTTTGTTTTGTTTTGATAAACACCAGTATATTCCAAAATAAAAGATTGACTCCAAAATAAAAGATTGACACACTAGGAAGTTAGCCTTTTTTATCTGCCAAAATTTTGCAATAGCCTCACATAAGAATCATTGATCTTTTGGATCACTTTGAACGAATCATATTTACGTGCTTGTAGCTTGGTGTAAGTACTAACCAGGAATCTCTCTCTGTGAAGAAACACCATCACATTGTCTCCCTTAAAAACTTTGACTCTTATGTGTTTGTTAATAATTGCTTTATTCTTCTCCAGTAGTCTGTAACTTAGCCTTGATAACTTCTTTAACAATCACCATTTCCTCGACTATATTCTCAATAGTCGCACTAACTCCAGGTGCTTTAGACAACTTAATCAAATCAACCATATACTTAGGAACAAAAATATAGAGAGAATGGTGATTTCCCTGTAGTTAAATGTACAACGCTGTTGTAAGCAAATTCGACTTGAGGTAAAATTAAATCCCCTTCGGCTTGTCACCACAAATGTTCTGAATCATATTTCTCAAAATTTTGTTGGTTAACTCCGTTTGTCCATCTGTTTGAGGATGTCCATCTGGTTTATCGCAGTTCTAAACAATCTCTAAAGAGTAATTTAAAAATGACTGAGAAATTTGGTGTCCCCGTCTGAAGTTATTGACTTAGGAACTCCGTGAAAATGCGCAACCTCCTTGAAAAGAAATTTGACTATGTTGGACACATCAATAATCTTCTTACAAGCAATGAAATGGGTCATCTTGGAGAATCTGTCTACTACAACAAACATAAAATCTACACCTCGTCGTGTACGAGGCAAGTTCAACACAAAATCCATGGTTAAATCTTGTAAAATATCATCAGGAATAGGTAAAGGCATATAAAGATCAATATTTTGAGATTGACCCTTAAAAACCTGACAAGTATAACACCTCCCGACTAAAGTACCAACGTCCCTTCTCAAGTGTGATCAATAATATCTTTTTTTCAGGCTAATAATCCTCTTGTCTCTACTAAGATGACCGCTAAGACTAATACCATACAAGTTTCATATTAGCTCTTCTTTTAAAGAGATACAAGGAATTAGGGGTGTTCCCGGTGCGGTTTGGGCGGTTTTGAAGCAAAAAATCATCCGAACCGCAAGAGAAAAAAACATGTGGTTCGGTTTGGTTTGGTTGACTTTTAAAAATAAATCCGAACCAAATCAAACCAAACTAATGCGGTTTGGATTGGTTTGGTTGTTTCGGTTTTTAAAAAAAATAATTATTATGTCATACATACAAATATATAGGAAAATATAATTTTATATTTAATTGTTCATACATTACCATAAAAAATTTATAATTGTCAAAATAAATTTATAATTTGATACATAAAATTGCGTATTATAATTTTATCTAAATCTAAATAATGATATCAACAAGATTGCATTCTTAAATAAATATTATACAAAGAATATGATAAAATATATTTTGTGAAAATAGTATTTATAAATGAATAATATTTTATTTTTTATGATTTGTAAATTAAAATGAATATAATATAAAGTATGATAAAATATACACATAATACATGTTGATTTCTCTAAAGAATTATAGAAATATATATTGGTTAGTAAGATTTTATAACATAATGCGGTTTTGTTTGGTTTGGTTCGGTTTGTAAAATACAAATCGCAAACCGGACCGAACCATGCGATTCCACGAGAAAATGACCCAAACACATCCGAACCAAATGCGGTTTTTTGCGGTTTCGGTTTGGTTCGGTTCGGTTTTGCGGTTTTCTATTGAGTCGGTTTGGTTTTGAACACCCCTACAAGGAATACATAGTCGATTATTTTAAAAAAAAAATAGCCATATCGAATATGGAAATTTGCACAAGGATGTTTTTCACTACACTTTGCCTATAACTCCTTGAATTCAACATCACTTTCATTCAACTCTTTCAGGGACTCAAAATCTGCTATCTCCCGTGCTAAGATAATTAGCAAGGAATTCCTCTTACTCAATACATTTGTTACCTTGTTAAGAGCCTCCTATTTATGATAAATAATAAAAGGAAATTTCTACAGAAAATTCACCCACCAAACATGCTTCTTATTTACCACCTCCTGGCTATGAAGAAATTTCAAAGTTGGATGGCTTGTGAATAGAATGAACTCCTTCTGAATCAAATAATATTTCCACTAGCTTATGATGAATAATAAAAGGAAGTTTCTACAGAAAACTCATCCACCAAGCATGCATCTTATTTATCACTTTTTGACTATGAAGAAATTTCAAAGCTTGATGGCCTGTGAATAGAATGAACTCCTTCCGAATCAAATAATGTTCCCACTTGCTTGTGATGAATAATAAAAGAAAGTTTTTACAGAAAATTCACCTATTAAGCATGCATCTTATTTGTCATCTTCTGGCTATGAAGAAACTTCAAAGCTTGATGGCTCGTGAATAGAATGAACTTCGTCTGAACTAAATAATGTTTCCACTGACGTAGAGCTCTAAAGACTGCATAAAATTTATGATCATAAGTACTCTATTTTTAGCGAACATCGCTTAATTTTTCGTTGAAAATGGTACAAGTTTCTTCTTCTGAGATGACACATCTCATATTTCCATTGTACTAGCATCACATTCAACTTGGAACATTTTGTCAAAATCGGGAAGTGATAATACCGGTGCGGAACATAGCTCCTCCTTAATCAGTTTCCTTTACTCTTGTTCAAACTATCAATTGAACTTCCCTTTCTTCAAACATTTAGTAATAGGTCTAGCGATAGTACTGAAATCTTTGATAAATCGCCTATAGAAGGTGGTCAAATCATGAAAGCTACGAACCTTAATTATAGATTTAGGTTCACTCTATTTGCTTATAGCACTGACCTTATCATACAACACGCAATTACAATTATAAGCACACCATATAATTATTTTTACAACCACACATTTGATTTAATTTATTATTCTACAATTATAATAAATCCTTAAAATAATTTAAACTCATCAAAATATTCTAAACAACAGCCAAGCATCGACCGCACGACGAAAAAAAAAAAATTGATTCAATAACTTAAAACGCAGCCATTGACACGATGACGGGGAGCCCATTACCAGGGTGATGTTCGTCATCCATTTTCCCCCAAACCTATCACTCTTGTGATGATCGGTAAACCTAACGCTTGTTTGGAGACTATGGCGGTCTCCCCATCAAACAACTGACACCCTTCAGTGTCTTCAAGGCTGTGATGATCTGGTCTTCAGGCGGGTGATGCCTGTCACCCTGTTAATAGAAGCAAAAATATATTTTCTGTTATGGAGTTCAGTTCCTAAATCTGATTTTTTATCCCAAACGCTCAACTCGACTCGAAACAACATGAAAAATAACTTATAGGGATTGAAATGTCATATATCCATCAATTATCATTCAAATACATGGATTCATCATGATTTCTAGCACTTTATTCATCACCTATATAACATACATATGAATGCAACTCATACAATTTTCACAAACAAATTTATACAATTTTCATAGTAAAGTCAACACACGAATTTCACAATATTACAACAATTATCACATGTTATCATAACAATCTCATAATCTCATTGAGCATTCAGCAATGGAGGAAAAAAAAGAAGAAGAACTTATTGGAGATTAAGGACTTCTCCCTACTCAATCATGCAATTGACAGCATATTTAGAGTAATTTTTCCTTACCTTGAATTTCCAGCAAAGCAAGCTCTACAAAAATGGAGGTTTCTCCTTCTTCCTCAAGCCTTAGGTTGCATCTCTTGCTTTTCTCTAATTCTCCAAAATAACACGTATTGACACAATTAGACTCTCTAAACCCTTTTATTCCAAAACATAATATAATAGTTTAATTATATTACTTTGGCCCAACTGACTTTACTTCTCACCTCTATTTTCTAATTATTAATATTATTTTAATTCTATTAATTTAATTAAATAAATAAAACATACTCTACCAACCCCAAACATTACATAAACATATAGATTTAACCAAACATCAATCCATAACACATAAAAATTATTTAAATAATTAAATAAAACACAAAATAAATAAATTAGAGAAACGGGGTGTTAGATTATGCATTAGTCCTCCAACTAAAAGCACCTAATTGATATAGGAAAGAAATCTGTTACCTGCTATTTTGGATCCTACGATCATCCCCTTTTGATTTCCTTCAAATCTCACATCCACACTGCTTCCTTCCTTCATCCAGAGGCTTTGAATATATATCTTTATATTGTCATGTGTTGTGAACATTCAGTATCCACGTACCGTGATTGATATTTAACTTAGTTTTTAACTTCTTCATGGAAAAATATCAATTTTTATCTCATGCATTTTTGGGATGATTGCAACTTCTATAATTCTAAATCTTGAAAAATGAAGAAACTTTAAAATTATCTTTCCAATTCTCAAAATTTTCTCCATCAAACATGGAGTCTGATCGAGTGAGATGTATTGGTTCCTTCATCATTAATATTTGAGATTCCAAAACATGTTTTTCTCAAAAGTCTTTTAAAACTTTGGGAAAAACCCAAACACTTGAACTTTTCCCTAAATGAAATTATTTGTATTAAGTCAACGAGTGCTTGACAAAAATGAAGTGAATATCAAACACCTGACTCTTATAGATCTCATGCTTTGGGGAATGGTGATCCAACATAATACTCTTAATCATTTTGCCTTAACAAGTCTCATATTTTTAGAGCGGTGCACTAAATAAGTAAAGATTACGAACCGACTATGAACAAACATGGGCCTATTGCCTAATCCTAGATTATACAATTCACTACTCGAGTCCAAACACTTCTCACTAGCTATACAAAATGTGGTCGCTCTAACACAAGGATCATATACAAATTCTAATCACCCACAAATAACCTTGAACATTTAAAGTCTTGATCCTTGTACAACGATGACAAAACTCTCCATCACCTACTTATATATTGTATGATTTTGTTCATAGCCTATTAATAGCAAAGTAACCACATTAATTAGTTTAGTTAATTAGATGTAGTTAATTATATGTTAGTTTAGTTAGTTAGGTTCAGTTAATTGTCGGTTAGTTTAGTCAGTTAGGTTCAGTTAATTATATGTTAGTTTAGTTAGTTAAATATATCTGTTACTAGAGTTAGTTAGATTCAGTTACACATTTGTTAGTTTAGTTAGTTAAATTCTTGTGATTTTCTGTGGAGTTAGTTAATTTTCATTCATCTATATAAACGATATTCATACTTTTATCTCCACACAGTTAAACACTTTTTCAATCTTTTCTTGAAATCATACCCTACTTTGAGTCACTTCTACAACCCTTTATTCTTCTTCTTCTTCTTCCCAAGAACAAGATCATGTTTCTGTGGATTAAAAATGTACTGTGTGCTTGCTCAAGCAAAAACAGTATTGACATGGTTGAGGATATTAACATTGATGAATTGGGTGCGGATCCTTCAGGGCGGACAATGAAACTGCATAAGCATCCATTCGGTGAATTCTCCATGGCTTCGGTACAGGCAAATGAAAAGATGGAAGATTTCGGCCAGGTTGAGATTGGCAACAATGCAATTTTTGTTGGAATTTATGATGGCCAAAATGGCATCTTTGCTTCCCAATATCTGAAGGAGAACCTCTTCCCGGCTCTACTATGTGAGTCTTTCTGTTTGCATGCTTCTATGTGAGTCTTTTATCTTGCTTTCTTTTGTTGATAATCAAGTTCTTCTCTGGTTTTTTATGGTTACAGGTCATATGGATCAGAATGATAACAATATGTCTGAAGATATTCTGAGGGAAACTGTTGCTGCAATGGAGAGAAGGTTTATGCTTGATGCTGATAAGTTACATGACAGGGAGCCGCAGCGAGCTGTGACTAGTTCTAGCTGTTTGTTTTGTATTATATGGAACGGGAAACTGTATGTCGCTAACGTTGGAGGCTCCCGTGCTGTAATGGGTTCTTCGGGTCTATTTGATACACTCCGTGTTCAGCAGTTGGTCAGAGATCACAATGCTGGTAACAAGCATGTTCAAGATGAACTCGCGAGATTGCATCCGGATGATCCAGATATTGTCATGTATCATAATGAGGCATGGAGTGTTGCAGGCGTAAGCGAGGTGAGCAGATGTATAGGAAATGCATATTTGAAGCGGGCGCGTTTCACTTTAGTCCCATCCTTCGAAGTATCGCGCACAGAACTTGCTTCTTCTGATTTTACCCGACCTTTGCTATCAGCAGAACCCGAGATATACTCAAGAGTCTTAAGAGACAATGATAAATTCATCATATTTGGATCTGGTGGACTTTGGAAATTCCTGACAAATGAGGAAGCGGCTAAAATTGTGAATACCAATCCACGAAAAGTGAGGACTTATTTTTCCTTTTATTATGTTTGCTAGCTCTTGGTTTGTTTATTTATGGTATCATTGGTATGGCATGTTGGGTTTTTGACGCAGGGAATTGCAAAGAGACTTATCAGAATTGCTCAAGAGATAGCAGCAAGAAGAAAGAATATAACCTATAGTGAGCTTTCGGCGGTTCCTAGGGGTGGAAGGTGTGGTTATCATGATGATATCGTCGTGACTGTTGTATTTCTCGACAAAAAGCCAGATGTGATCACCTCCGTGCCAAGGATCAATTCCTCCCAAAGCTTCTTTGAAGCGGCTCTTCGTTCGAATTTTCACTATGTGTATGCTGGTGGTAACTCAGCTCTTTGTCCGGGTTTGGAATATTATGCCTAGAACTGTATATAGGAAATAAACACAACATCATGGATTGTGCACTTTTTTGAAGTTTACTGAAACTTTGCTTTGTAAATTGGCACAATGTGTGTAAACTGGATTATCTTAATTGTAAGGAATGCAATGAAATGTGACTTTGGTTTATTCACTGTGAATTGGTTTGACAGCACTTGGACTTTTTAATGGAAAAATGTGAATTGCAACTTGGTTTAATGCTTGCCAATGCAATGTAGTGTTTATTGGATTCATGAAAATAAGCTCTATTTGGAACTGATAATTGGAAGTAATTTGGTTCAAACTTAATGCAATATGGACCAGCGAATGTGAACTTGCACTTATGGTTGGCTTCATTAAAAATGAAAAGAGTGATTATTGGTGAACCAATGTTGATGATGAAAATAAACTTTAGTTCTAACTTAAACTTTGTTTTTTGAAATTCTATCTTGTAAACTACATGACTCAAGTGATGTTTTAATCTAAAAGGATGAATAGTACAAATGAAAAACAAGAGTATGACTAATATTGCTTAGCATATTAAATCATGGTCAAGTGTAACTTTGATTTGAATGCAACTTCAACTTAACTTCAAGTCAACAACAACTTTTACAATTAACTTGGTACCAAAGTGTATCATGTGTGATGTGGCTCAAATAACATGAAACCCTTTGTGCCATGCATGACGTGAATGATTAATGGATGCAAGCAAACCATTAACCAACCTTTTATTGGCTTTTTGTCATGAGATGAATAAATAATGCATGAAAATGTATAGAAGCAACTAAATTTGGTCTTCTAGCTTAAATCAACACGTTGTTGACTTTGGGCCTTGACTTTATTGTATGAGAGTATATAAATGATATGATGAATGAATTAGGTGAACAAGGTGCAAAATTAGGGTACGATAACATGTGTGGAGATTTTGATTTATGAATTCTTTATTGTGGAGAGTTTGCGTTGCCGCAAAACTCTCCATCATAGACTCCAAATTAGAGCAAACTTGTATTGTAATAAAATTCTCCATTAACATTTTAAGGTTGGATTGTTGGAAAATTTGTGGTTCCTAGATATAGCGGGGATGGTTGTTATAGAAAATACTTGGGTGATTCATCCACCCTAGATTATAGGTATTGGGGTAAGGGTTTCTATGGCTATTGTTCACGTGATTTTCCATCTCTTGGATACATCCTCGAGAGAGGATCATTTTTAAAACGGATTTTTTTTAGCAAAAAAACAAAAGTGCTTTAGTCTAAACGGCGTTGAAATAAAATTTCGATATCACAATATCTCCCCGGCAGCAACGCCAAAAACTTGATGTATATGAACCGCAAGTCTCACCCTTAGGTGTCCCCCTCCTTTGCTTGATGTCTAAGCCTCTTTTTATAGTAATCTCAACTATAAGTGACTCATAATTGACACTAATTTCGTGTATTACTACCACTAATCATTAATAATAAAATAAATGAGAGTTACAAATGTCAAAAGGTCACCAAAGCCATCCAAAGATTACAAGTTTTATAATTGTCTGAGTGTTGACACATGTCGTGTCAGCCAACACGAGTTGGTCGTGTCACCCTCAAATTTCTTGTATAGGTGTGCTTCAAAGGGGCTAACACGACCTGTGTCATGGGACAAGGTCATACCATGTTGGTTTCGGGAAATTAGTACTGGAAGCGTTTATATTTGTGCGATCTTTAACATTTTTCGTCCTGATTCGCTCCATTGACCTCTTATTACCTGAAAACAAACAAATGAGACAAAAACACGTAAAAGCAAACTAAAATGATGCAAACACCCATGAAAACGAAAATAAAATAAGTAAGAAAAATGACGCATTTATCCATGTTGTACCTCAAAATTTTCCCTTTCTTTTCTCAAGACATTTCTCACCAAAGATCTCAGATGCTCAAGAATTCTCAAGGTTTGACCAGACAAGCTCACCTCCTAAGCATTGAGACCACAAATTAGGATTTTGGTTTTCTCAAGGACAATTGGAATTTTGATGCTTCAAATGACATTCATGATTCATTATAGATCTCCAAAAATGCTCATGCCAAGTTTCAAGTCTTGCATCTCAAATTTGCTCAATCAATTGCTCAGATGACTGAAAATCAACTCTATTGGGTAAAAAGTCAACTATGGTCAACATACAGTCAAATTTCATAATTTTTAGCCAATATCAACATTTTGAAGTCATATTCATCAATTGATCAAGTGTTTATCACATTGCCTCAAGAAAAGCACTCAAATCATCAAAGGGGTAAAATTGTCAAAACTAGGGTTTTGATTAAGAATGACTAATGAGTGACTTCTGACCTGTACATGACCTAATGGCTTGAATCATGATCTTAAAGACTAAAACACAATATGTTGACCTAATCTCATGGCTTAAATAATTTCTCAAGATCAATAGATTGATAGTTGAAATTTGATCAACTCATGAAAAGTCAACTGATACACAAAAAGTTAAACTTTGACTTTTTGGTCAACATTGAATTCCAAAGATCAAAATTCATCAAGACATTCAAAGATATCAAACTTGGTCAACAAGAATCAAGAAAGTTAAGAAAATCCACAAAAAAGTCAAAGTTTTCAATACTTAGAAATTTTCTAAGTGTTTTTATCCTTGATAATTTCACTACTTCATGACAATTTTTCCCCATAATGCAAGATGATTCAAGGAAAACTTTCAATATGAAAGTTGTAGGCTTGATAATTCTACAATTTTTTATCTAAGGGTTGATGTCCAAAAAATGCTTAGATTTGAAGATATAAACTCACAAAGTCATGACATTTTTCATAAAACACTTAGTGAAAATTTTAGCAAGTTTAGGCAGATTTTTGATCGAACTTTTTGACCAATTTTCACCTAGTTCCAAGATGATTTAACCAAAGTGATCAACGTGAAGGTTGTATACAATGTTTCAAGCTTTTCAAAATGTCCAAGAACTTGAAGAGATCATTTTTGAGCTAGGAGATTCGAATAGATGAAGTTGGGCATCCATTCTTGAATTACAAGTCATTCTCTTGATGAACACATAATCCAATTTCAATGTTATGCTGCATAATATTGCTTTGTAGGCCTTATAACTTGTATATCTACCTATAATTAATGGATTACACAAACTTTTGAACTATGATCCAAGTGGTTTAAGAATTGTCCAAATCAATTTGCCATTTTGGGGAGAAAGCTAACATTGTCATTCTTGAAAAGCAAGATTTATGCACAAAGTCAATTCTTGAGCCTCTCACTTGTTACCTCTGACCACACTCCATTTACAAGGTTAGAAGAATTGTGATTAAAGTGTTTAACTACTCTATAATTAAAGGTACAAGGCATTGAAACTTGATTTTTCAAGAAAATCACATGTTGAGCTTAACATGTGATTTTGAATTCTGATCAACTTGAGCATTCCAAACCTATTCTCTATAAATAGAGACACTATTTTCAAGCCAGGGGACGAATTCAATAGCCCTCAAACTCACTTAAACTCAATATTGCACACAAACCTCCATTGTTGGTATTTCTGACCAAAAACTTCAAACACTCAAATCCCTCGTGCGTTTTCACTTATAATCATTTACATAGAATCTATAAATCATAAACACTCATCCCCACCCCTGTTTCACAACTGTAATATCATCTTCCTCGTCTTTCAAACTCAAAAATAGAACTCTTCACATTGACTTCTCCAGTACGATTTAGGCACTTTCAGCATAAAGTAAGAGTTGCATTAGCTTCCTAGGAGTCCAGTGAAGTTATCCAGATCATCATCACACTTTCAGGGATGCTCAAACTCCATACACGATTTCCAGTTTTGAGGTAAGTTTTCTTAACTTTGAACTCTCTCTACAAGCATCATTAATGGTTACTTTGTGAATGAAAAATATAGATATCATAACCTTGAAGCTAATCGTGCCTTTAGTTATCATTTATGTTGCCTGAGTGATGCGAATTTTGAGTTTGAACCTTCTGAAAAAATTAGGTTTTTATTTGGTACCAGTAAAATTCTCATTCATCTTTTATTTATAGCTTATGAAATTCATATGGTTGGATTCATGGTGAAATTTCAAACAAGTTTCATGTTTACATTTTTTAATTTGGTTGAGAAAAGAAGATTTGGTAAAATTTTGAATAATGGTGTTGTTGGTTCTGATACGCGCGCAAGGTTGAAGATGAAGTTTAAAATATTATAAACAAGTTTATTTTATATTTATTGCAAGTGGTATTATTAATGGATGAAATAGACACCCCAGTGGCAGAGAAAGCGTGCGTAAGGCATTAGTGTGTAGAGACCTGGATTCGAGTCCCAATGGTACCCTTTTGGTTTTTTCTTATTATTTACTTGCATATTCAGTGTATACAAGCTCAACACGCGCGCCATACACCCTCATTCCTTCACCATTAGATCAATCAAGCATCTCATCCAACATATCACAAAACAAGCGCTCGGTATACCTCAGAGAGTCCGCCACGCATGATCCAAAACAGGCGTTAGACTCTATTCCGGGCCTGGATTATTATTTTTAACTCTCACCCCCTTTTTGCTCACACACACGTTGGCCCATATAAATTATTTATTTATTTATTTTCTGATTCCAAATAAATTCATTTTTGGGTCTAACCCTATTTACTACTCCATCCGTTCCTTTTTAAGTGTCATTTTAGAAGATTTTTTTTGTTTCTATTTAAGTGTCGTTTTTATAGTTTAATGTTATCATTTGTCAATTATATCTCTACTTTCTCAATAACTCCACTTCACATTTTCCATAAAATTAATTATTTTCTCAATTAGCTATTGAAAAAAGAGAGATGGTGTATGATTGAATTTATTTGGAAAGAGAAAATAAATGAGGGTATAATAGAAAAAATAACTCTAATAATCCACTATCTTGGTTGAAGAGTTTTATGCTAAAATGACACTTAAAAAGAAACGGAGGAAGTACTTTTTACCACCTTTTTTACTTATAAACACCCAAGCCATTTATTTTATTTTTTTATT